CATCTGCTTATTCAGCTACTCTGAAGATTTTCTTACATACCAGTATTTAGGGCAGAACTGACCATCATATGGAAAAACGTGATCCACTGTGCCAGCAGGAACTGAATCAGTTCAGATCCTGAATGCTCTCCTGCAATCGTTGTTTTGTTCATAGCTGGAAGACTGTCATAGTAATACAAAACAGTTTCAAAGGTAAAGCTACATTTGTATACTGTACTCTCAAGACTGTCACTGTAAAATTCCAGCAAAACAGTTCTAATACAGATAAAGGCATAGCTTGAATTTAAAAATCATCCCCTAGAGTCTTCTACTTCCAAGTCACTATTAACACAGTAAGAACCATGACATTTTAGAAACAGTACTCTCCACCTTCTCTCACTTTTCCCTCCAGAGTGCTAGAGTACAGATCTGTCACGTCTTTGTAATTAAAATCATTCACTGCTGTTTTTATGCACAGAAAAGTTGAGGGATACTGCCACCAGATAAAACACTAGCATGTTTAATATGCAAAACAAAACACAGTTGTTTTTCTTCAAGCAGTATGCCTTTTCAGCTATTCCCAATAGAAGCCTAATGAGTACTGAAAATGGAGCAATTAGTATTTGGTATCAGTTTGTGTACAAAGAGCCAGCCTGCAATCTCACCTTCCTTAGCCTAGGAGTACATCCAATAGGAAGGAAAGTATTAGTCAGATGATACCAGTTATACACCAAATTCATAGGACTCAGCATCACTAATATAGCTTCTTCCTCAGGACTAAGAGGAATCTACATTTTGATGTGCCATCAGTTACATAAACAAAAATGAAAATATCAGGGTTTTGAGAGAGAGTATTCTGGTATTTGTGTATTCTGGTTCAAACTTAGCCATTTTCATTTGCAGGCTAAACAAAGCTTTTCTTGTCTATGCTTGGGTCCTGAAACTAATGAGAAGCTTACCATATCAACACATTCTACTCATTGCTGTAACACCCAAGAAGAAAATTCACTCAAGGCTTAACTGCAGATGAATCCCTCAGACAGCGTCAGATACACAAGGCTAAAGACATTCAATCAAGTACCACCTGAGAGTACATGTGATATATGCCCAGCATTGCCTGTTAAGTGTGGCATGTAACACAAAATAGGCTCAGCTTTATACAACATGTTGCAAATTTTGCAAGAGCCATCACTTTGGACAAGAGTCATAGCAGCAGGTATTTCTTCCATGAATATAAAGACACCATTGATCCAAAGTTTTCAATGAGATACCTCTAGTTTCTAACACTGTGACATTTATAAGCCCCACCACATTTTAAGACTTTGGTTTTTCAACAGAATTACTGATTCGAGTAACAGCAGAACTGTGTGCACAGAGGTTGATAAGAATGTACCACTGCAGCACAAAAGTCAGACACCTTCTCTCTGCAGGCTTGTTTTCAATTGTTTATTGAGGTTTAAGAAGTCATCCACATTTCTATAAATATAGACATTACTTGAGTAAGTGACTTACAATGTCACCAGTGCAGGTACATATATAACCAACATACAAAAGCTCCACTGGAAGCTACTTCAGTTTATTCAAAAAGGACCAAGATGTCATAAAAAAAACAAACAGCTGTCACTTTCAGTTATCAAAGACACTAAAGTGCATTTTTGGTTATCTCCTGGTCGAACAGCTGCTGGTTAAAAAGCTTGTTTTTTTTTTTTTTAACATAGCTAAATTACATCGATTGACATTCGGTTTGTAGCTGTCATCCTCCTGATACATGGCAGCAGGTAAGAAAAATGTATTACTTTGCTGGTTGAGAGGAGGAAATTTATTTTGCTAGTTTCTACTTTTTTTTTTTTTTTTAGTCTGGTATTTCCAACAAAAGTTTAAAGATAATCTAACATTCTGATTAATTTCTACAGCACCACTAAAGTTAGTCTTAAAAATCCAGGCTCTGCTTTAGCCCTTTTGATTGCTAACCAAGTATCTAAAGAGTCACTTGAAGCTCTGTACCAGTAAGAAAAACTACCCTCCCTTTTCTGTCAAGCACTATCCTGCCCAGTTAACACTGTTTGCACACTCTGTAAACAAGAACAGCTTAAAGCATAATTAAAGCAGAACACAGGCCCATCTTGAAAATCTTCTTCCCCCTTTCCCTCCCCCCCCGCCCCGCCCCTGGTAGTGTCTAATGTTTGAGTGTACAAAGCATTATTACATTCCTAACCACAAAATACTGTAAGAGTCACAACAAAAAAGCATACGTTGAAAGTGACAGCAATACTGCTTTAATAAAATGGGGTATTTTGGGGAGATACAAGATGTGCTCTGCTAATTTTAACTCCATCTTTACCTCATTATAAGTATGTTATATTGCCAGGAAATCACCAATAGGGCAAAGAATGCTGCACTGGTTAGAACCACAGCAGCCACAGTTGTTCTTTATAGCTCCTTTACCGCAATTCATTGACTTTTGATACTAGGAGGACATAAAACTCACCATTCAGAAATAAATTACTAACTTTGAGTAACAGTTTAAACCTGATTAGCACTGTATAATGCTGAATGGCTACTTCTAAAAAATAAAAACCTTATATACCAAAAAACATGCTATATGTTGAGAATCCACTTTTTCATGCTCCATCGTGTTGTTTACAGTTTTTACTTGTCAAAGTCTTTCTTTTACCAGTTGAAGAATCCACAGCACTTAAAATTTCAAGTGTTTGAACTGAATGTGATTCAATTTCAAAAAGTGCCAAATTAAAAAAACCTACACATGTAGCCAAGCTTTCATAAAAAAAACTCAAACAAGGTAAAAAAACAGCCTCAACGAAATTATGGGTTACTAGCTTCATACATGTTTTTAAAGCTGTATAATGTTCACCTAAGCACTCCACTTACGAGCATTAGAAGTTTAAAAACACAGAACACCTTCAATGCAAATTGCTTGCAGAGGGCACCCTCAAACATATGAGTACAACACTAAGCAGAAAACCCTCGTTTTATTTGGCTATTTAGACATCCATGTCACATATACCCACCCATCCATTTCCTGATAGCATTACATCATCTATTAGGGCTTCTGAAATAATACAGAGCCAAAAAATTCAGAAGAGACTAGTTAAAAAAAAAAATAAAATTCCCCAACTGCACAGCCTTCCTGCGCACAGCAAGGTTGTGCAACTGATTGTTCAATGTAACTAAGCTTAACGGCATCCAAACAGGCAGGCCTGGCTTTGGAAGCTGTCTTACGTCAAATTTTGACCACGTAACTACTCTAAAACAGAAAGGTCAAAAAAGAACTCATCTCTTCTTTTTCTGCTGCCTCAACATTTTCCTTCGCTTAATTATCATATCATGTAGTTTCTCCAGTCCCTCTTTAAGTCCATCTCCAATGATTGCACAGGTAGGCTGCAAATGCCAGGGTGTTGAAGAACTCAGCTCACTCATCGCTAACATCTTCTCTATTTCAGAAAGGGAGAGAGAGTTCCTCAGGTCCTGCTTGTTAGCAATGATAAGGACAGGCACTCCTTGATTCTCAGATATCCTAGTAATCTTATGAAGTTCTGTTTTGGCCTCCTCCATCCTCTCAACGTCGACGGAGTCCACCACAAACACGATGCCATCGGTGCACCTTGTGTACGACTTCCACAGCGGCCTCAGCTTCTCCTGGCCGCCCACATCCCAGAAGTGGAAAGTGACCGTCTTCGAGTTGCCCAGCGTCACTTTGATTTTCTCCGTATTAAATCCTTTAGTGGGGACAGTGTTGACGAACTCATTGAACTGCAGTCTGTACAGCACCGTCGTCTTCCCGGCGCAGTCCAGCCCCAGGATGACGATGTGAAAGCTCTGGAAGGAAGGCAGGCTGGAGAGGATCGGCGTCTGGTCCGAGAGTCCATTCCCCATTGCCAGAAGGGAAGGTGACAGCAGGCTGCCACGAGCAGAGGCGGCTCCCGCGGCTGCGCTCGGATCCTGCCAACGACACAAGCGGCGTTACAGCCCGCTCCGCCGGCGCCGGGGCTGCGCGGCCGCAACGCGCCGGCCGCGGCGCCGCCGCCCCGACTGCGGGGGCGGAGCGCGACGCGGAACGCCACACGTCCCCCGCCCCGCCCGGCGGCTGCGGCCGCTCCCGGCACTGCGGCTGGCCCGGCACCTGCGCCCCCGCCGCCCCTCGCCGCGCCCCGAGCCTACCGCTGCTCCCTCAGCGCGGGGAGGGGCGCGCTGCCCGCGACCCCTTTCCCTCGCGCCGCCGCTGCTCCCGCTGCTCCCGCGCCCGCTTCTGCTGCGGCTCCCGCTGCTGCTCCCGCAGTCGCTTCCGCTACTGCTCTGGCTCCCGCTGCTTCTCCCACAGTCGCTGATGCTGCTGCCGCTACTGCTGCGGCTCCCGCAGTCACTGCTACTGCTACTGCTGCTCCCGCTCCGCTGCCGCCTCTCCCGCCGCTAGCGCCGCCGCCCTCGCGACTCTCCCCTGCATCTGGCGGCGGAGCGCCTCCCAGCGCGCGCCTAGCCCCGCGCGCCCCTCCCCGCGCTCTCCCATTGGCCTCGCCGCGTGCAGGGGGCGGGGAGCGAGCCGCGCTCCGCCTCGCCCATTGGCCGCCGGCGCCGGCCGCTCCCGGAGCACCCGAGTATCGTACCGTCCGCAGCCGAGCGCTTCGGGCCGAGCGCGGCCGGAGGAAGGGGCCGCTCCCCTCCCACGCCCTGCCTTGAACGGCCCCCGCTCCTCCTCCTCCTCCCTCCAGGGAGGTGGAGCCGCTCCCTCACGCACCTCGGGGCAGGCCGGCGCGGCCGCGCCCTCCGCCTACGGCAGCCCCTCCGCCCGGCGGCGGGCGGCAGCGCCCCTCCGGCGGCCCGGCGCCCCGCCCCTTCGTGGGAGAGCGCGCGCTCATTGGGCGCGAGTGCCGTCAGTCCATCGCGGCCCCGGCCGCCTTGGGGCTGGCTCTGCGGTGCCCCGCCCCCCTCACACCCATTGGGTGTGGGTGCTGTCACTCTAGCGCGCCCCCTGCCGGCCCCGGGCGGTGCCTCCCCGCGCACCTGCGCCGCTGCCGGGGCCGCGCGGCCCGCGCCGCTGAGGGCCCCGGGAGCGCCGTCGGCACGGGCGGGCTGGGATGGACTTCGTAAATAAAAGTGCGCCGGCCCGGCTCTGTGCTCTCATCGTACGTGCTGTATCTGCCTTTGAGCTCTCCCCGCGAAACCGGAGAGACTGACCGGGAGGGGCCGGGAATAACGTAGTGGGTGACACGGTTCTGACGGACGCTCGGCGCACAGGGATGACAGCAGTGCTCGGGGTGAGGGAACACGCAAGGGTGCCTGGCTAGGTTGTAAGAAAGGTTTCCCACAGCACAGAGATATGTTAAGTAATCCTGCATTTTCATATCTCAGGCTGATTTGAGCAGTGCGATGTTTCCCAGAACTAATTCGGAGTGTCTGATAACACATTGACTACATTTACTGTTTCCAGAGCATACAGGTGTTAAGGAGGCCTGGAGGAGGAGTGTTTGTCTCAGCTCTTCCTGCTGCCATACCACGGTTCTGTTCCTTCCCACCGCTCTGTTCCGCAGCAGCTTTGCCCCTGCAGTTTGCCCGGCTGTGGCAGTGCCCATGGTTGGTTCTGCTGCCCGTGTGGCACCTACCCCGCAGCAGTGTGAGACAGCGCGCAGGACGATCAGGGCAGAGCAGGCTGCAAAAGTCTTCGTCTATAGTCCTTAGATAAAAATTTAATAAATCAATCTTTACAATAAAAACATATGTTTAACTGTTAGCTAAAGCTATTGTGCTTCTCTAGTCTGCCGGTCCAAGTGTATGTTTTTCTGTACTCAGTATCACAATCATAGAATCATAGAGTGGTTTGGGCTGGAAGGGGTTTAAAGATCATCTCGTTACAGCCCCACTGCTGTGGGCAGGGACACATTTCATTAGACCAGGTGGCTCAGAGCTCCATCCAACCTGGCCTTGAGCACTTCCAGGGATGGGGTATCCACAGCTGCTCTGGGCAGCCCCCCAAATCTTTGACCAGCTGGGCTTCAGTAAAAGAGAACTGTCATTTTCAGTATTAGTCTTGCCTTTTTGTCTAGAGGACTTTATTATTTCTTGATGTGGCTGCTGAAAACGGTTAATTTACAAGAATATTCAGACAATGATACTTCTTTTTTTTTCCCTTTGAAATCATTGTAGTCCATATTTTAAATCACAGATAATTTTATGTAAAAGAGAAGTAATTGAATAGTAAAGGGACATATAATAGCAAAAAAAAAAAAAAGAAAAAAAAAAAAAACAAAATCCAGTGTGTGCTGTAGGCAATGTTTCATATTACTAATATTATTAAAGTGTTAAGATACCCATTCTAGTCCTACTATAAATATCAAAATTCTAATTTCCTTACATCTGAGATGAATATTTCACTGCTTTTATCTTTGTTCATTATTTACACCCTGATCTTGCAGCTGATTCTTTTTGGAGGAAGTGGCCTGTTTGTATAGGAAGGTGATTTTACATCTATGGAAAGGAGGGGTAAGTTACTACCCCTAAGGCCAGCTGGTAAGGTTTCTGGTTTGGCAGTATTTTACAGTACTTTTGCATAACATAAAGAACTTCATAGCATACAATGTAATAGGAAAGCATCTATAGTGACAGTAAAAGTGGGCCTTAATTATTTAATGGATGGTTTTCAGTGATTCAAAATTGGGAGGAAACCAGCTAGAAATATCTTGTTAAGGAATATTACTGCAGATAATAGATTTATTCATAAAGCTTGACAAGCTGAAATAAATCAAATTGACCTTTATCTCCACCTACAAAATTAACTATCCCCTATTTTTAATGGAAAAATAAGCCTATTTGATATTACAGTCTCCTAAACCTTCATGTCTGATTGTTACCAAGATCCATTCAAACTTTAACACAGCTTCCTAATAATGCATTTTACAATTAATTCCTTGAGAACGGATATTGGCTAGCTTCTACCCTCATGGAAGGTATTTTGATTTTAAACATAAGATGCATAAGGCTTGTTTTTATCTCTTTTGTTCTGCTGAAAAGCAGTCAATACATAATATTTTATTGGAAAGGGAGGGATAAAAACTCATGTTTTTTTCTAAGGTATAGTGTATCCAACGCAGTAGGTGGAGAAGGAATCTCATAAATCTTGTAAAAAGAGGTTTGTGACATCAGGGAGGTCATTTTAAGATTAGACTGAAATTAATATCTTCAACAACATGAGCATACCTGTATTTGTAAATATATACATAGAAATAATCTGTGCTCTCCAGAAAATGCTTGGATACTCCCTACAGTTAATTTATCACATTTACCTGTTGTAACTTGCTATGAAGTGAATTATGATTTCTCTGGGGCTGAGACTATTTTTCACTGTAAGTCTTCTTTGCACCTTGATCTTAATTAATGCCTGTAGGCGCTTCTGCAAAACAGCTATTAAATAACAATCCAAGTGGATCAGCTCCTCCCATACACTTCATGCTGCTTTAGAAGTCAAACGAGCAGACTGGGCAGGTGTTATGGAGTAATGGTATCTAAATTAGTGGGAGTGTAGAAGAGTTGACACATTCAACTTCTGATAATTGAAGGTAAGGGTAAAGCAAGGCTCTGATTATCCTGTAGAAGTCTTGCATGAAGGAGGTGTACAGAAAGAGCACCTTTTCCACTTTTCAAATGTGTAGCTAAATGGGGAGAACGGGCTGTTCTTAGATAAGAGCTGAAAATAACTGCAAGATACATGTAAGAGGAAACAATGGTGAAAGGCTTAAGCTGCAAGAATTTTCAATGCAAAATAAGGAAGTGCCTAATTTCTGTGTTGGGGTAATTTCACATACTGATACTGATACTTTTCTCATTTCCAATGTAATCTCTACAGATCTGAGTTCTTTCTGGCTCAGCATTCCTTAGCTCATGAAAACAACTGCAACTTCAGCTTCTGTGGGTAAAAACCTTCTCCCCTTTCCTGTTTACACAGTGTACCAGTGTAAAAAGTAATTTAAAGTAATTTAAGTAAATTATTTTCTACATCGGTTTCTTCCATATATGCTATAAATATTTTCCACATAGAAGAGAGCAGGGCCAGGGACAAATCACTGTGTTTCAAGAAAAAGAAGCAGTACCTGCATAACATGCAGCTTCTTCACTATGATAAAGTAGTTTGGCTTTTGGTTTTTTGTTTTGTTGTTGTTGGTTTGGCTTTTTTTTAATTCCTTAATGGCCTGGGGATAATTTTGGTTCAGGGCAGGTTTGAGGGGGCCAGGCTTCCAATGCTGCAATTATTAACTGCTTCTGAGAAACTTAGATAGTCCTTACTAGGGATATGGACCATGAAATTGATTGAAGTGTTGCCAAGAATGAATTGGCTTACAGTGGAAAGATAAGATTCTTGGAAATTTTAATATTATTACCCAGCAGAGACTTAGATTACCTTTTAATACATATCACCTCCTTCACTGCAGGAGCTGTTTCACAGTGCCCAGATAATAAAAATGCGAAGAATCATCAAACATCTACTTGCAAGGTTGTGTGTATTCTTCACAAGAAATCATCTTTCATATGGAAATAGCAATTCATGGAAATTAAATCTACCAGTTCATGAGAGGTTTACTGTAGCAGGACATTAAATCAGACCTTTCATTAGTGCTGGTCATTTTAAAGTTAAATTCCACTCAGGTAGGTATGACTGTTGTTACACATCTAGTGATGCAGGAGATGAGAAATTCCTTCCAAAGCAAAGATAGTGGGCTTGAATTTCCATGGCCAGATATGCACAATATTCCTTTTGTTTTCATTAAATATCTTCATTCTGAAGAACAGGCTAATGGCATTTATTATCCTATAACAGTTCAATAGCTAATCACCTTAGAGTTATTTTTCAATAGCACCACATATTGTGTGTAGCAAGTTTGATTCAAATCAAATGAAAAATGAAACATCAGACCAGTGATCCTGATGCCATGTACTGCAGATGCAGAGGAATATGCAGGGATATTCAGGGTCTGCAGATGCAGACCAGAACTAAAGAACAGTAAAAGACAGAAGCAAATGCTGAAGAAGGGATAGGAAGGAGCCAGCTGCATCACAGGGCTGCATTAGTTGTCAGACACAAATGAATGAAGTCCTAAGAAGAATGAAATTATTGCAAGAACTGGGCACTGTCAAGTGCAGGTAGCTGGCCTACAGCAATGGGATCCCAAACCCCCATCTTCATGAGAGAGATGCGTTAGCAACCTCACACCACCAGTTACTGCTGCTCTGTGTGGAAATGGAGCAGATGTCTCAATGTGTATGAAAGAGAAAATCAGTTGCATTTCAGTACAATGACATGGCAGACCTAGGCTGGGGTAATTTGTATTAATGTTTGTGTAATAGCAATAATGTTTATTATTACAGCAACCAACTATAGTTCAGTTGTACATTCAAAAATTGAAGTTACTTCTTTCCAACTATACTCTAGATCTCAGAGGTAAAAAAGTACTGCTTTGAATTGTTACACGGTTCTGAAAGTATTGCTTGGAGTTGTTACATGGTACATAAAATATTACAGCAGTTTCACCATGAATTTTGAGAACCCCCTTGAATTTGAGCAGTAAGAATGAAATAGCTGACAAATTGCAACACATGAGTTTTTGCTCTTAAGACTATCTCTTAAATTGATGTACAAAATGTTTTGCACAAAGAAGCCTTTTATCATCTTTGCTACGTCTGCTGAATTCTTTTATGATAACTTACATGCTGAATGAACTGCTTTGATTTGATTATTAAAAAGTAGTTGGTGGTAGAAAATCTAATTTCTTTCCTCACAATAAATAAGCTTAAAGCAGTAGGAGATGGAGTCGCTGTGTTAGACCAGTTAATTAAACTTTCTGTCATTTCATACATACCTTCACATGAAGTCTAACATCTATATTTTGCTACTTTCATTTTCATAAATAAACATAATGCCACATAGCAGGCTAAAAAACAAAAAGCCTCCTGTACTGACAGTCAGAGTTTGTTGCATCTTCAATTCTATTCAGGTGTGTTAGCTGAAAGAAAGCTGTGCTAGCTCATAAATGTCCTTAGTCACACTGAGAAAGTGTTGGCTCAGGGTAACTGAAGTTTTAACTTCCTCCTTCCAAGCTCCGTGAATTTTGGTTGTTTCATCCTCTGATGGGATGGCTGTAATGGTGGTGACTCCATGTTTGTGGAACACGGGGAACAGCCTGACCACTTTGTGTACATGTGGCTGTAGGAGAAATGCACCTTCTGTGATAGGGTGGGACAGCAGAAGGGTTGTCCCCAGCAGCATCTTTGTGTTAAGGACTTGAATGACAAAACTCTCAGCCACACTGAATGTTCTTTTAATAGGAGAGTGTAATTAATAAGGGTTTAACGTAGATCCCCTCTTCATATGATACAAAGTTCATAGTCACAAAATCCAAACCTGGACATAGGACTTGTTATGGGGCAGTTTAAAGAATCTAAAAAGCTCTTTTTTTTTTTTTTTTACAGGAACCCCTGGTTTCCACCCCCACTTCACTAAGAAGCTGGTGCTAAAGAACACCCAGCAAATACGTTTAATTAATACATGCACAGAATACCTCCTACTTTAATCCTTCATTACATGAGGTAAGGCTTCACCATGAGCAGTTCCAGTGTTCAATGTGTGATACTACACATGAGCAAGCCTTGGCTTGCATGTTTTCTTCAATGGTTGTATACTGATCAAAGACTTACATTCATCTCAGCAAGAGTTTCCCCACCTCCTACCCCATGTTTGTGACAGCACTTTTGCTTTTATAGGGTTTTTTTCCCCCTCTGGAACTAGTGACTTGAGTCACACACTCTTTTGCTGAGAATATAATGCCAACTCAATGCTACATTGAAAATCCTGCCAGTTAAAAGAATGGCTTCCAATATCTTTTTTATTCCCCAGTATTTTTCCCCCAGAAAAGCTATGGGCACTTCAGGGTTTGTTTTGGTTTTTTTTTTCTTTGGTTTGTTGGGGTTTTATTGTTTGTTTGTTTTTGGGGTTTTTTTGGGGGGGTGGGGGTTGTTTGTGTGTGGTTTTTTTTTTCTATGCCAGAATAATTCTAAACAGTTTAAAATTCTATTAAGCTGAGATTTCAGTATCAGCTGCAATCTTCTCACATTGCTTCATTTGAAAAGGGTTGCAGGATTTTTAAATATAACACTTTAATATGATGGGAACAGTTTGCAAGCAGGTTAAAAGTACTACAATTACAAATATAAGAGCAGCATATTTTATTTTGCCCCTGTATAGATGGATTTAATATGTGAAGGTATTTTCCCAGCTCCAGAATGATAATGGAAATGTTGGTAGCATAACTACTGCTGTTTGAAATATTGCTAGCACAGAGTAACAATGAAGGAAAGAAAAAACTGCTATTAAATATTTTTCTTGTCTAAAGAACTTTATAAATATTGTATAACTATTTAACATGTATAAAGCTGCTGGCATTTGCTGGAATTGTAATAGATAGGAAAAAACAGACCTTGGACATCAGAACAAAGAAGGCTTTTCTTTGATAAATTTGTATCTCAGTTGATTTACTGTAGTGGAAAAAAAAAGTTACAAGTTCTGACTGAAGCTTCTGACTAAGTGTTTATGGGATGAAACATTCATTTAAGCCAGTTCTTTCCTAACAATCCATGTGCTTGCAACAGTTACTTATTTAAAAGCTATGCTTTGTTCTTCAGGTGCTGCATATATCCAAAAGGAAGTACCAGGACAGGAAGAAGCACACAGCACTCACTTCACAGAGTCAGAGTTAGCATATGGTTAATGAAATACTTAAATGACAAATATAGTGCATTGAAAGCTGCCGTGAGAGCATTTCAAAGACAGTCACAAAAGACAAAGCACTGAAGCGCCACTGATTTGCAGGGACTGGCCTGTTCCTGTGGCTGGAGGGAGCAGGGAGCCTGTGCCTGTGTGGTGTGCACAGCCACCTCTTGGATGTGTTCCCACTGTTTTTTGGCAACAAAACTGAGAGGTGATGCCCATCCAATATACAGGGTGCACTGTGAGAACGAGCAGGCTGTTGATCTGTAATAACTTTGTGTAAATCAAGTTAAGTGCACACCTTGAAGAGGAAATTCCGTTGCTCATCTCTCCTAAAATGGCACAGCAGCAATAGGAACAGATTTCACAGAGATTGCACTGTATGAAAATAAAATTTTATGGGAGATATGCCTAAGCTCCCAGGAGGGTTGTGAAAAATTTAAAGTATCTGCTTTAGTGTATAATAATGTAGGTAGTACAGTGATAATGTCACAGCTCCTTGAGCCTGGTGCTCAGAAGCAACAGCTAAGAGAAGTGTCCACTGAGACAATGAAATAGACCACAAACAATTTGTTTTATTTTCTCCAGCCACTGTTTGGTAATTTATCAGTGCTCCTAATAATAGGAGCTTGTGAGTGCTGCTTATAACTCCTGGTCACATACAGAACAAATAGTATGGGATATAACTACTCTCTGGCTTTCTGAAAGCATCTTTCTTATATGAGTGACAAGAGAGACCTGCTGGCTCCCTAGATAGAAGGGAGGTGTTTATTTTTATTTTTTAAAGAAAGAAACAATTTATTATTAATTTTAGACAGATAACTGAGCTCAAATGTAGATTGTAATGTCTTTAATGAGGTAATTATTTGATTAACAATGTTCCTGAAGAGAAACAACAAATACATGCTTTAACAGATAAATTAACTTGGTCTTTTTAAACCACAGAAGACTGGTAAAGCCTACTGAGCATCTGTGCAGTCCACTGGTCTCACTCTCTGCAGTGCTTCCTTCCCTTCCTACCAGAAGTCTTTCCCAGGCACTTAATTTCCCAGGCTCTATAGTTGTGAGGCATTTATGAGTTTTCAGAAACTGTGTCACTGGCTGGATCTTTAACCTGTCCTTTTAGTCAACAGGCATCTGAAGTGCACAGTGAAATACCTAATATGGCCCAGCAAAATAAAACATAATTTTGCACTCAGAATTCTATATGACCCAATTCTTTGCTTGCAAAGAAGGTCATAGTTCTGAGTGGCTTCACATTTGGAGACTTCCCAGGCACTAGGAGTTTTGAGCTAACACTTACCTGTGTTTGCCCCTATTCCAACACAGCAGCACTCCCAAGTGTGCATGCAAACCCTGATACAGCAGGTCCTACAGCTTTGCCAGCTGTGTGGCAACTGCATCCAGTCCCTGTGTATGTTTGGATTTTGACCAATATATTAATTTTTTATTTGAAGCAAGAGAGTGTTAAAAATCAGCTTTCCAGGAGAGGATGGAAAGAGCAAATACTCCTTTGCTTTGATTTCTGGTATGAAAAGTAAACTTCAGTCAGCAGAACATGAATGAGAGCTAAGCATTCTAGATTGGATTTTTCTCAAGCCCAAACAGAGTTGTTTGGCTGCCAGTGATAAGAAGTGCAGATTTTCAGTGCCTCCAAAGGAGCTCTTTCCCCCCAGGGCCATGGATATTTTCACCAGCTAGCCTGAACTGTGGCATGAAGGTTTCAGTCTCTTCCAATGAGAAATGATGGGCACCTTATACTTAAGTACTGGATATTTGTTGCAGTTTCTAAAGCTTAAGCAAAAAAAAAAAAAAAAAAAAAAAAAGAAAAAAGAAAAAAAATCTTTTTCTCAGTTACAGTACTTAAGAGTTTCAGTGTGAAATCTGAGCCTATTACAGTGTGCTATAGCAAAAGGAAAACCAACCCTTATCCTAGGGAGCTCCCAGGTTTGTATTTATGATTAGATGAAAAAGGGAAGAAGAAACAAACAAAGAGAGGACGATGAAAGAATGGTTTCAGGGAAGACAAATACTGTGTGGGTGGGGAGGAGTAATTTCATCTCCTTGCTCAGCTGTAGTCTAGATTTTTTAAATCTTATCAGCTCACCATGTCTTCTTTTAAAGTTAACAGTAAATCTCAAAATTACTTCAGTGAATGCAAGATTAGGCCTACTGCTTGCTAAGTGTTAAGTCATTTGAAAATTGATTTGAAAGCTAAACCCGGGGGTGTTAGGCAGAAAGCTTTCTTTCACATCCTAGGTTCCAATTCCTGGAGGGAAACAACAGTAAACTCACTTTGAAAACCTTGTAAAACCCGTCCCTGCAAAATCGTTTTTGCTTTCCTCTCCCAGGGAATATGATTCAAACAAACCACATCTTACATTCCAATTCCATAATATTGAAAAAGAGAAGCCTTTCAGAGAATCCGGCACAGCTTCTGCCACTAGAATTGTAAACTCGCATGAAACTCTGCCAAAATACTAATTTTTAAATGCATATTTTTTAAGCCTTTTGTTGACATCACAGCATTTTATCAGAATATAAGTTTCCCGTTCTCGGGCTCTCATGGCCACATCACACTACTTAGCAGGCTTTAAACAAAGTAAGGAAGGCAAATAAACAAACTTGTAGAGGAACAGGTTGTTTAGCTGAGATTTTAACTGAACTCCAATGAATGGAGGCAATACTGAGAGAGGCAGCAGTTGAAGTGCTGCAAGGGTAAGCTCTGCAGTTTTCATCTCTTTGGAGCCTTCTTCTTCATCTCTACCAGGACTGATCACAGAAGATTAAGAGTCCAAGCAGGACTTCTAGGGAGCAGAAGCAGCAGTGGGATACTATGAACATAATAAAATTTTTTTCTAACTGAATTATGTTATTCAAGGCCTCTCTACTGATGGAAAAGAAAAATCAAACAAATAATACCTCCTTATGTAAGGAAAAAATAACATGGACATTATCGTAAATAGAAAGAATCTATTTAAGGAAGTCTTCATGCTTTGAAGATTTTGTAATTTACATAAATGTGTGATACATTCAGCACATGAGCAGATGCAACCCCAAACTGAATCTTCAGAGGAAGCATGAGAAAGCTTTAAAGAGGACAAATGGTTGTATCCCTTCCTCCTGGTTTACTGATGGAAGCCCTCTGAAGCCATAGGTCATTCTGTGAAAGCCTGTTACTAAATCTGAGAGAGTCTGCTTGCTGAGGGTCACTTAAAGAGCCCTGCCCTTCTGCTTAGGGACACCAATATCTGCAGTCTTTCATCTGAGCACAACTGTAGATACATGGGATTTCAAGTGAGCATCACTGAACTCCTGCAAATCATTCATCTTTGAGTCCTTGCTGAGGATTGATTGAAGGCACAGCAGTCTGGCACATAAAGCACATATGTGTTTCTGTGTTTTTCAGACCCGTGATAAGTCAGAGTTGAGATAAAACAATAGCCATCATCACCACAGAGGCCCTAACTCCAAGCTTTCCCTGGGCCAGAGTGATGAAATTGTGTCAAACCAATAGTAGCAGCCATCAGACATTTGTTGATGAATGGAGATAACATTTAAATGCAAAACCAAAGCTTCAAAATGAACAAGAAATTTGGTAATCTTCATCCCTCCATCTGTAGTCAGTGAGCACTTTTTGTTTCTCTCAGTTCACGCCCTTGACTGTGGACAGGAGTCCTCATGCTCAGTCTCTGGATTGAAGCCATGTCAGTGGATGTCTGTTACTCAGTATAATTCAGTAATCATGAAAGAAAGATCCCAGTACATTATCAACACTCAGTCCTTAAGTCAACCACAAAACACCATTTGCCAGAAACAAAAT